CGGGCGCACGTGAATTCCACGGAAATTGAGTGGAATTTTGCCAAGTCGAAGGGGAAGAGGAGGAGGAGGGGGGGGGGGGGCGGTGATGTCGGCGGTGATGCACGGTCTGGACCACCGCGGGACTACTCCCGGGGGATAAGTAAATGGGGAAAGAGCGAGTCACTCGTTCCCGGATGCGAAGTTTCTTACCGGTAGAGTTTAGCAAGAAATCAAGCCGGCAGACAGTGACAAGGGTAGCCACGGAAGGAGGGAAAGAAGGAGGGGAGCGGGTAAGAGAATGTAAGAAACAGAAGTGTATATCGGTGGTTCCGGCCGCGTGAAAGAGGAATCGTCTCCGCTCGAAAAAAACTTTATCGTTCGTTCGAGCGAGATGTTCGATCGATACAACGCGGAGCAGTTGATTTTCGTCAGGATCGAGCGACGTGTACGGTACGTGTTTAAATAGTTTGTTTACTTTGGAAAATTCCAACCGATTAGATTAATTTCCATCGATCGAATAATATAGATCGGGCCAATAATAATCTAATAATCCTGTTATACCACTTTCGCATTACAGGAGAAACTTGAACCTGGCTAGTTCCCCCTTTGTACTCAATCTATTACGATGTTTCTCCTGGTCCATTATCAATCAAAACTATTTGCCTAGGGGTACTCTGCCAAAGCTTAAAGTCTAAGCCGAGCTTAAAGGCGGCCTCGCGATAGGTAGTTTAATCTCAACTGGAGAGAGAGAGAGAGAGAGTTTAAAAGCCGTTTTGGCTTTACGCGACACTTACCGTATCACGTGGAAACGCGATACAATTTAAGGAATAATATACCTCTGCACCTGCTTATATTATAATTATCCTTCGAGATCGAAACAGCGTTGTAATAAAATAATAAAAAGTATCGCGGAGAATAATAAAATATCGATCGAAGTCAAATAAAAATAGCTAGTTACGAATCGATAAATGTATTAACGATTAACACGGGGGAAAAAGGAAGATCGTTTAGTAGACTACTCGAAACAGGAGCAGGTGGTTGTCAAGACGGAAGGATGAACGCTCGCAAATATGGAGCAAGAGTGCTTGGGACGAGAGGAGAAAAGCAGTGGGTTCGTCGAGTGCGCGACACTTTCTACAAAGGTGAAAATCTATAGGGAAAATCGGAAAGAGAGAGGAGAAGCGCGAAAAAAAGCTATGCTGAACGTGTATACCGATCAAAGCCGATCGAGCTCTTTTAAAGCGAAGCGAAACCCTTCCCTTCCGATTTATGTTCGAGATACTGGATCCTTTTTCCTTTTTAAAGGAAATTTTATTTCGACGCGGTTTAAATGAAATATAAATAAACGGGAAAAATTCCAAATATTTTTCGAACGTGTTAAAGGACAATATTTACTGTTTCACGCAACGAAAGCTCGATGATCCTCGATGAAATAAACGTACGTCTCGATCGAATTATTTAATCTCGTCTCAATATTTTTCTCGAAGCACGAAAATCGCGAGAAATATCAGAGGGCAACGCAGCGAAAGCTACGACGATTGTACGAGGTAAAGAAACGATAACAAGAGAGTAATTATGATAGGTCTCGATCGACGTTGATATGAACATTGATCGATCACGCATGACCGCGAAATCAGCGCGGTACGGCTGTTCGTCCGAGCTAATTTGACTGTCGTAATTAGCTTCGTTTATCGGCCCGTGTCACGTTCGTCGTGTACTGGCCGCGGTAATCTTCCTGCTGCCGCTGGAGCAAACAATTAACGTTGTTCCGCTAACTTTGCCGTGATTACAGCAATTTTCGCATGACAGCTCGCTCGTTTACCGAGGCCTGCACCAACCCCGCTATAATTTCACACCACCGTCTCCGAAAATATACGACGGTTGCTGGATGTACTTTTCCTTTCTCTGCTCGAGCAAAACTATTTTTCCCCCGCTCAACGAAAACAGGGTTTCGTGGGGGATTGCGTACGCTTCGTCGACCATTAGTCGCGCAACAATATAATTAATGTATCTCGATCGATAAATCTTCTTCACACCTTGAAAATATCGAATCGGACGAGCGTTTATTGAAAAAATAATAATAATAATAATAATTAATCCACCGTTGATGTAACGTTTGCGTTTTCGTGAAAACAATAAAAAAAACATCGACGAGGGAATATCTCCGTTTACGCACGCGATATACAACATGTCTTTCGAAATCCACGTGTTGTCGTCGTTCTCCAATAAACTTTAATTGAAATCTAATACCGCAACAGATTTGTCTCGTTCAAAAAACTCGTGACAAATAAATTTCAAGTAGGGGCGATCGAGTAGTGGAGCGAGAAAAATTTAATCGAATTTGAAACGTTGGTTATACGATTCAAAAAAAAAAAAAAGGAGCAAAGGGGATGGAACGAAAATCGAAGATGTGTTACGTTTATGAAAAGCCTCGTGTCGATCGGTTAATGAATAACTCTTCGAATAACGGAAAGAAACATTTTATTATTTCCCTTGTTATCCCGACCACGGAGAACGAAAATGATAAGCTTAGCGCGGGATTTCGATGGGTGGTGGAAGGGAAGACTTTGATGTGAACACGTAAAATGTGTAAGGAAAGCCGGAGGAAACAGACGAAAGTTTATTAAAGCCAGGAAAAGGGGGAATCCTCGAGATGAGGGTTGAAATTAACAAAATAACTGGTACAAAGGAGAGTAAACCGAGTGATATACGTATGCCCGACGACCGATTGAACAGTTAATAACTGGGAGAAATGAAAGGAAGGAATCGAGTTTAACGTGAAACGTAGATTATTTGCGCCAACAGCCTCGGCAACGATAGTCATTTAACGTAGAAAAATATTCTGAGCTTATTTTAATTTTGTATTATAACCCGTTACTTTATTAAATTCGTCTTATTGCGTGTTTAATTTAATGTCAATTATAACAGCAAAAAAAGATTCTTTTGAAATTCTGTTCAAATCAATATTAAAATCACTGAAATATCGATCCACGTTGCTACGCTTAATATTTACGATGAAACTTTACAATATATATTTGGTACACGTAATAAAATGCATGTAAAATGTAATACAGAATGCACACGAAATATGACTGATAATACCGAAAAAAAAAAAAAAAGATTATCATCACAATGATGTCTTCAAAGTAATCCCTATTTATTTTGCATAATGTTTCATGGTTGCAAATGGTCGAGAAACGTAAAATTAACACCGAAATTTTACCACCGGTTACGCCGACTAAATGCATCCAAAGTAAGCGTTAAATGCTCTAGAAAGAAGTAAAGTGCAACTTTGGGTAATGCTTATGCAACATTAATATTCAAGACTCGCATTAGAGTCACCCAGTAAATTGCATTCTTTTTGCTTCCTCGTATTGCGTCTAGTCCAATCTTCTTTTTCAGTCTTGAATCGATAATCGTATTAATAAATCAAGATTACCTATTTTAAGTTTATTCAAAGTACTACGAGATAGTAATCCCTTTTCGATAAGAGATTCTGCAAACTTCGAACCTTCCTCCCGTGAAATTTTTAATCAGATTAAAATATATTGAAAATTTATCAATAAGTTTAAATTATGAATCTTGTTGATATTAATACGAGATAAGAATTAATAAATATAACTGTTACGGAAAATATATACGTTCAAATTTTTAACAATGAAATTTATAATAAATCAATCCTCTCGTAGCTGTAGTTCATGTGTTCATTCATAGAAATATACGTATGCATAATTCTTTCGTTCAAATAATTATAAACCATGCAAAATTAAAAATTAAAATTCCACATTGTTAACATTCAATAAGCAACGTAACAATGAGTTTCAGCAATTATAATGGTTATACAGTCGTAAAGCGATGTAGTAACGACTGAACAAACGTGCAACTGATCGATATACATTGCACGCAACCAGCTCAATGAAGAAGTCAAAGTTCTTTTAAACTAAAAACCTATTTTGAAATACTACGTAATAAAATTTGTTTCGCTATTCCTTTAAAATAATTCTTTTTTTTTTTATTATGTTCATGATAATATGATTTTATATACTCGCATTATATTTTATAATGAATCAACAAAATAAAACATTTTTTAATATCTTTCTAATCGAGGAAACAAATTAATTTTTTACGTGTTAAATAATATTAATGTTAATAATATTAATAATTTTTGATTTGATAATAAGTTTGCAAAGAAACATAGTATATAGTTCATACATGTATAGTATAGTTTCATACACAGTGAATAGTTTCTTGCCACGTGGTTTTCGTGATAGGTTAGAAACTGCAATAGCGAAAAAAATAATTTTGCATAAAATGAATAAATTTGTTGAAATCAATTTTAATTCGATTGAATTAAAATTTTTTACAGAAAAAAATTTAGATCCGATGAAAATATATGTTGTCATCAAAACTAAATAAGTTCAAAATAATACGAAACTCGATATATTCTTTCAGTCGTACTACTTTAATTAAAGTTCGAGAGTAATTTAACTTTTTTTTTTTGTCTATAAGCATCCGCAACTTTCTAATCTAAACTTTCCACGATAAGCGTATTGTTTGCATTAATTACCAAGTAATATTTCAGAATGGTTATGCTCAAGAGCAAAGTGGTCGGTGCTGAACAAATTGAATCTGACGCAATACCTTTTAACGGAGAAAAAGGTTTCAATTATTAAAACTCAATTTGTATTAAATTTTTTAACACGATTACTTAAAACGAATTAATCATAAAAAAAAAAATTAAAATAAAATTAAAAAATGCATTAACGACAATAATAATATTAATTCGAATAAATTCTATTGTCGTATTCAAAAACGTGAGCGAAGTTTTCAATAAATCGCAACATCTTCGGAAAACAATTTTCCGAAAGCGCATGACACGAAACATTCAAATCACATTTCGATTCTAAAACAACAGTAATTCCGTCTATTCCGATTCATATAGTACGTAGCGTAAACTAATAATTATCGACGGTGAGAACAGCAAAGAAGAAAGAAAGAGAAAAGTATAGACAGGTACTTACATTTTTTATTTTTCTCGCCGACGACGCCTCGCGACAACAAGCCGAAAAGGATGGCGATGGTTAGAAAAAGCATAGATTTTCTCGTCCCTGGTGCGTCCCAGCACCAGGGCGAGCCTCGTGACATCACGGACATATCACTCTCTCTCAACGAGACTCCATACCGGCTTCCGCGAAACTTCCGCGCGTAACCACCGTGAACATAACCTTATACATCAAAGTCACTCGCGGCGAACAGGTTCGGCTTTCAATCGAAGCACGATCCAAATATAGAAAACTGACCGGTATTTAAACGAAGAAACGCGCGAAATTGACACACACAACCGACTTGAATCTCGTTGACGAGCTACCGGCATCGGTGCTCGTCACTCGGACGCACGTACGCTATTGACATCGGGGAATACTCGCCGGATACTCTACTCACGGTGGCGGCCAGGTTGCGACGATCACCGACGTAGGTGTTCGCGCACTCTCATGCGCGCTATCGATCCGACAAACCCCGCCAAACCCCACGTCGCGTACACTCACCACCGTCCTCCACGAAGACGCCGCCATATTTGTGTACATGCGCCTTGAGGACCCGGAAGTGCGCTCCTTACCAAGCGATTTCTTCGTCACTCGTTCGAAAGTTCGTCGATCTTTCGATTTTCTTCTACGACGTTTGACCTCTCGCGTTGGAATCTCGCGTCTTGTACAATCGTCGTTTCGATGTATCGATCGCGTACTCATCACGTGACCCACTATCGACTTCACTATACGACCGCATCTTTAAAAGCGTGTCATTGCTAAAAATGGATTTATCGTGTGATTTCTTTTTGAGTGTTTTGATGAATTCATTTTAATGCATTTTATTTGCATTTTTTAAATCTTTAAAATTGTGGAATGGCGACAAATTTTAATAAACAATTTCATTATTGTAAAATAAAACATTTCAACCTTCATGAAAATGAATTTCTATACTGTGCCAAAAAAGCAGGTATGATACTTTTAATACGATTATTATTATTATTTATTTATTTACTACGAGTCTAAATAACAGAGACAAATAATTATACGATCTTTTTTTCAATTTCAATTTTATTATTCATGCAACAATTTTGCATTTAATTCTATTTTCTGTAATAATGAAAAAAATATTCTATAACCTAAAAATATATTTTAGGAAAAGAAAAAAAGATATTAATTTTTAAAATTATATAATAATAATAAGAAAATTTCATTGCATTTTTGACGTGAATTATTGATAAATAATATCAATGTTTACAATTCTTTTATATATATAATTATGTTGGAATTTAATAATATAATAAAATATAATAAAATATAGCTTCATCTATAAACTAATATCGTTCATATTAAATTAAATTCTTCTGATATCTATGTCCAAGACTGAATTATTATGCTTGAATGAAAATTTATGATTTTGTTTTCAAACTTTATTATTTTTCGTTATTAAAATCTTATTACATGTAACATTGAACTAACGATTTCTAAATTAATAATTAAAATTAAAAATGAAAATTAATCTAATTAATATTTATATCCATTTCAGATATTAAATATTTAACTACGATCGATATCTTTATATTTTAAAAAGATGAAAATGATATATAAATAATTACGCGGATTGCATTTCACACCAAAGAATAATAACTTGTTTATTCAAAACCGCGAGATACAGTCACGCAGTTTTATACTTCGCTGCATGAATCACGATTAATTTAATTCATTATCGTTATCATTTAGAAGATAATCGCTTCGATTATCGATATTTCAAGGTCAGTCAAATACAATTTTCTATTGAGGTCAATCGTCTATAGGGTGGTTCTCCAAATAATAAATTCGGCTTTGAAAATAAATTAATCGAATAACGACTAACAATAAGAAAAATAGATACTTTAATAATTACTCGTGAATCGTAAAATTGATCGATGCGTATTCGATTAAGTATTTATTATAATATAAATATAATTTTCAAGCCAATTTCATTTACTTTTGTATTACTTTTAAATTATTTATGATACACGCTTATGATAATCGCTTAATTTATAACTTTAGTATAATTCTGAAATTTCTTGTCTTGTGTGTAGCATAATCATTACGTTCAAATAGGGTAAGTCTTCGTGCATGGTGAGAACTATAAGAGGTCAATGATCAAATCTCGTAAATCACCCGTTATATCTGATTGCAGCGATCGAGTGCCGATAACGTTATCGCGCATGCAATTATTTTTTATCCGTCAATCAAGGCTTTTTGACGTCACACTTATGAATATTCGCCCTAAACACAGTATTAAAATTCAACTTTTTAACGGAACGACATCATTATGGAAATGGGTCAACCTTTGACCGAAAAAATCCCTCAGAAAAAATGAAAATCAGCATGTAGTCTCGAATACCCGTTTGTATCCATATCTGTTAGATCTACGGTGGTGAATCGTACCCCTAGACCACAAGCTGACTATTAGAAAACAGTTTAAATCAGAAAGACAATCTACCTCGAACGCGTTATCTTGCGTGGCTCGCGCGATGGCGGATTTATACGACTCCATATTGTCCGGCGTATTTCACTAAAGTTTCGACTTCTACGCGGTGCGAAATGGTGTATTTGCATAATTGTGCTTTTAATCTCAAAGAGAAATATGTGTTTTCATACAAAATGGAAATTAAATAGCGTAAGAATGTTTGAATTTGATTAAAGAAATTATATTATGCGAGAGTCAATATTTTCGAAAGAATTTCGCTATTTGTACAGATATTGTGACAAATTAAAATTGACGACGTTAATTATTGATGAATATGTGTTTGATTAACAATGAAATTAACAACGAATTAGTGCGTTGGAGTAATTTGTGCACGAGATATTAAAGTATAATCAAGTGAAAATCGAATTGTGGTCTACAATCTAGTATGGTACGTACAAAAATATGAAATTAATTTCATAGAAATATTAATATTTCAAGATTAATTTTTAACTTTTTATATATTCCTTCATTTTAGATCTTCAATTTTATATCTTGTTACGTAATCACGATCATATTAATTAGCAACGCTTATACGTAAACTTTTATATATAAAACAATATATATATATATATATATATTTATATTATATAAATTATTAATTTTTTCTCTAAAAGTATATTAGTTTCGTTTATGAAACTCGATATTATTACGTAAAAGAGAATATCTTTTGATCATTGCGGCGAGCCAATGTGACTAAAGTTCTATACCTGATCGGTATTCGCTTCATAATTGCCTTTAGTTATTCACATTGTTTATTATAAAAATTACCATCGCGATAAAATTACGTGAAACGCGAGAATCTATTGTTTTATTATTATAATAAATCGTTATCTGGATAACACATCTATACGGGATATTCATGGCAAAATGGACGAATGATTCACATTCTATTATTTCTATTGGTTCAATGTGCGTCACGATTTTGCATAAATCGTTTGTCTACAATATAATTTTGCAATAAAAATGTCACGCGCGACGAAAAAATTTCATATTCATCCGAAAAGATAAATAGAAATAATAATGTGTCGAAATCTGTGCAAATGTTTGGTGCAAACGATTGAAAATATTTATACACCGTGAACGGAAGGCTTATCGATAAGTTTCGTTTGCCGTTGGTTTAAATGCTTAAAATAATATACACCTCGTTCAATTTTAAATTTAGATGCAATTTATTCAGATATTGTCACTTCTTTATCGAAGATTATCGATAAGTTTTATCGCTAAAACATCAAGACGTATTAAAAAAATGCCATAATATTAAATCGATCATTTTATGTAACGTTTAATAACATTATATTTGTTTAAAAATATATATATATATATAAAACATTAACTATACATTGAATAAGACAAATAGGAGGAAAATACGATCGATCATTGTTTTGAAAATTGAAAAATTTGTATCGTCTCGGAACAATCGTGAATAAAAAATTACATCTTTTTATTATTTCGAATCGTAAACGTAAATGCGAGTGAATCATCCTACTTTAATATGACGAATACGTTTGTAAAAATTTGTCACCCGTTATACATTTCACATGATATGTAAAAACTAAACGCCCGATATAATAGTTTTCATACGTGTGTTTACATACAAATGGTGCGATAAGGATAGCTTCTGTTCACGCCCGTATCGGCAAAGTTCGAATTGACACTGGTTTGACTCATTGGCAACAGGAAATCCATATCGCGAAATCCCGGGTCATCGAGTTATCGCGAGAAAACCTACTCCCGCAAATACGTCACCGGCCGCATCAATAAGAATTGATTGCCCGCTATCGCAATATTTATTTAGGCCATATCGAAAACAAACATCGACATACATCACGTTGGTTGGAACCGTGTTATAACCGTGGAGGAAAAACGTAGTATGGGTCAGTGCATGCCCGATTGCAGAATCCATTGTTGCTCGCGATCGTTCACCGAAGAGGAAGAAATTCCATTAAATACTAGTAGGCGCGTAATAAAATATATGTTTTCCAACGATATAAGTTTAATTTCATTTATTAGTTTTTAAAAAACTTGGTGAAGTTTTCGTGTCGTACTTTTCTCCCGATAATTCAACGAATATATTGAAATTTTGTGTGTGCGCGCGTGATTCTGAAAATGGACACGGTTGAGAGCAACAATTGATTACCAATAATAATAATTCGGAGATAAAAGTGAAAGATCGATATGTTTGAGAACAGTAATTCGTTACGATATAGTATTAATTACTTGTTATCGATTATTTGTTTACATAGAAGAAGATGAGCGTGAAGATCAAGGTAAGGATGAATTAAAACGAATCATCGTTCAAAACGACACCTTCGACGCTACTCTTCGCGTCGATCCATCTTTCGTCCACTCGTGCAACGTTGCTCGTAGAGAAAAAAAAAAAAAAAGAAAAACACCGTACCAATTAAGCAACCATAACGCGCGCATAAATCTCATTTCACCAGAGAGTTCCCTTCTCTCTCGAATCTATCGGCCATAAATCAATCGAGATCGAGGCGAGAACACGCGACGTTAATCGACTCTAAACGACACGAACCCGTCCGATTATTAAATTAGCGTCCCCATGGTGACCAGTGGTCAAGGAAATCGGTGTTTCGTAGAGACAGTCGAACCGCAGCGGCGCTTCGTACGGCTGTCAAACCGTACGCGTTATAGATTACGGGCAAGAGTCGTGTTCGAGGCTCGCGACTGCGATGACCCTAACTTCACGTATAGTCGAAACGCGTGAGGAATAGTTGGACGCCACCGGAGACGTGGTGGTTCGATTGTGATCCATGAGAACCTTCCTCCTCGATCGTTCGATTTATCGTTTAGTTTAACTGTCCCCGAGTGTACATCCAGAGTGTCTTCGAGTCGAGCCCGAGAAGCCGAGCAAGTGTAGTACGTATAAGTATGGCTTACTCGATGTTTGGATTCTCTCCGTACACGTTGAAAAGAAGTGAACTCGTATCGTGGAAATGTCGTCAATCTTGATTTTTATTATTCGTTTTAATCCGTTTGGACGAAATCTTTTTTTTTTTTTCGTAATGTACGCTTTTAATCAAAACAATAATCGAAAAGTTTGAACTGAAGAGGATGAAAGTGGTTCGGTTTCGATTTTTCGAAACGAGGCAAGAAGAGTAAGGAGTGTGAGTTATTTTAAGAATGATGAAAGATGATGCAAAAAGATGGGAAAAGTTGTTCCTCGACAAAATGTAAATATCATAATAATGGCATTGTGTTGTAGATAAAATTGTATTGTTATGTAATCGAAGAAGAATACGAGGATACGCGCATGCAAATGAATAATATTTACGCGATCTTATTATTTCGAATTAAAAATTCAGCAATTTGATATATTTCGAAATCCCCGTTAAATAAATATTATCGCAAATACCGATAAAAAAATTTTATAATATATCAATACGTAATGTTTTTATTTCAGATTTGAATCGGTGTATTCTCGTTTATTCAAAAGTGGGAAGAGAAATTGCATCGAAAGATACGTCCACGATGTTCTGTTTAAGAGGGGAGACGAACGGCGATACGAAGTTTAAAGAGATATTAAAACAGGATGATTTCGGATGGTGGTTGAGCGACGAAGATGATCTAAAATCGCCCACATCCGCATGTAGCAAGGACCGCCTATCCTTAGGATCGTCCGAATCGATGTTCTCTTGCATAGACTCCGATGATACTGAAAATTATTTTCTCGCGCAGGAGTTCAAACAGGAATGTAAGGATAATTACGAAAAAATAGAGCTCACATCGTTGATTCACGAAGATTTGGATCTGAATCTCATCGAACAAGATGCGATAAAAAAGAATCTGTAAGTGGTTCGTATGTTTCATTTTTTTTTTTTTTTTTTTTCGTTTTCTACTTTTCCGCTTTCTATCAACCCATCCTTTAAATATCCACGATCGAAGACGATACAATTTTTAAGAAATCGATCTATCAAATCGTAGGACGTCACGCCATTTCCAATTGAAGATGAAAAATACTCGAACGACTCGAATCGAAAGTCGGAAGCGTTACACGGCATGTGTTACACCCCGGAAAGATTGGTCAGATCTCAGGAGTATCGAATATTGACGCCATCCCCTCGCTACTTATCCATCTCTCAGCCGAAAATCGTGCAAGAAAAGGAAAACTTAAAGGGGAAAGGGTTTTGCTGCCGGCGGCAATTGAACTGTTTTATCGATTCGAAGCAACCTGGTACGTATTTAGGGATAAGAGAGAAAAAGAGAGAGAATTGTTTGCAGAATGCGCAACAACGGATCGCAAACTTGTTCCGATGCGAGCCTACCGTCAGCTAACTTGAATATAACCCGGCTATTGTGTCTGACCTAGTAAAGTTTCGCGGTTTACCAATATGTGAAATCGGCTCGCTTCATGCTCGTTAGACGTACTTTCATTTCAACGCCTCTACTCTTAAACTCGTCCCACAATGTCCCCTGTCTAATTCTTTTTTTTTTTTTCTCGTAAAAGAACTTTGCAATTCCTTGAATCCAGTTTATGATTATTCTTTCCAATGCGAGTTTCCCGCCTTTCTCGATTGTCCATTTTATTACCTTTAATTTTATTTATTATTTTTTTTTCTTTCATCTCATCAAATGAATTTTCAGCGATGCAACTGAAATCTTTCGCGGAGAACAGGCCGAAGGAAGGAATTGTATCGACAATCGGTTTGCACGGTTGGAAAGATAACAAGCGGATCTATAACGGCGATATTGGGACGAAGAATAATGAAAATGAAACGAAAATGGAAGACGTATCTGATTATAATAAATCGTGCAGCTTGCAAACACCAGACTCGATCAGCAAGAGATCCAGTTACGACAAATTGAACATCACGTGGGAAGATTGTGGAAAGATGGGGACACGGAGTTCTTCGTTGGACACTTCCGGTATCCAGAGCAACGATTGGAGCTCGGACACGCACAGCGACCTGCAAAACACATTTCTGTGTCTCAGTGATGAATTGGCGACGACTGATTACAAGCTCGATAACTCGCAGGTTTTATTTTTTGAAAGATATATTAAGTCTTGAGTCTTAATTAAATTTACATATTAATTTAATAGAAAAAAAAAAAAAAAGAAATGATTCAATGAAAATTTGTCGATTAATTTTCATTCGTGTTTTCTTCGATATTTCTTGTTTATGGAATTTTGGATCAAATTTTGGAAAATAAGGATAATCTTTTTGATAGGAACGATGTACCACCATCAATGAAGTAGTATCGATTCTTGAAGAGCTTGACATAAATCCTGAGAAAGCTACGATTCTTCTTGAGGAAGATCGTTTTTGCGACAGCACGTCTACGCACGATCAATTAACCAGGCTGGCCCTGACGACTGAAACGGACGCTAATGTGCTGGAAGTCCTCGAAAATCCAGAACATTTAGTAAAACATCTTCAAAATAAGATAAAAAAACTTCAAACTGGCAACAAAGATATCTATAGAGATATATATAATCTTCGAGAAAGCTTTCAAGTAATAATTTTTACGTGTTAAAGATATGTGTATATCTTATATGTTTTTATAAAAGAAACGTTGATAAAATTTTTTATTATTTTATTAACCAGTGTGATGAACAGAGAATAACGGATATCTTGTCTGATACAAATAAACTACGACAGGATGTACATGAGCTGCGATACCTCGACGATCTTTTAAAACTTTTACGAGGGGAATTGGAAAGGATTTCAAAAAGAAATTGGCCATTTGTTATAGGACATACAAATCATTCGGAAGAAATGAATCTCATCGTGTGAATAATATAAATCCCTTCCATTGCTAGAATTCGATGGAAGTTTTTTTCAACATCATCCGTAACGATCATCGATATTTTGTTACTTAAAATTAATTTATTTAAAGAGAGACACGGTTAAGTATTTTTATAATACATACAACGCCAAAAGCGTTTCACTGCCATTGTTAATTATAAAATATTATATGTATTACAAGTTGATTCTGCAAAAGAAATTTTTCTCTAATCTTGTCCAAAATCAAACGATTGTGATGAGTGCATGAAATTTCAATTGTTTGCGCAAACAAAAATTGCATTTAAGTTTTCAATATATATAACATTATTTATTTAGATAGATTTTTTTTTCTTACTGAAAAATTTATTTAAGAAATGTACAATATATTTTTATATGTATACAATCGATAATCTTTTTCTTTTCTAATTTTGTGATTTAATAAGGATGTACAAATTCTTCATATTTGTTGCTATTAAATGAACTGTTACCAGTATTAATATTAGTATTTAATCGCACGATATACCGCAGGCAGATAGAATAAATAGTTAATAGTTATAGTGGATATTAATTTCAGATTTTGATCTTATTGTTTTTCTAATTTCAATTTCAATGAACATTTATGCAAAATTATTTCCCATAATTATTATAAATATTTGCAATTATTACATTTTAGACAACAATTTAACAAAATGAACAATTGAATTAAATTAATTAATTATCAAAATTTTTACATTTAAATAAGCGTTTATTATATCGGATTTAAAATTGAAATTTGGATGAGAGAGTTGAAGAAAGAAAGAAAGAAAAAAAAAATAATAATGCGAGTTCGTTTATATGTATATTAAATACTTAAATTCTAGATACGTTTTCATTTAAAAAAAATTTTAAAATTACATATAATCGTCACAAATTTTAAAAATAAAAATAAAAATTTGTGAAGCGTTATATTATTTCGAAACACATTTATGTTAATTTTTAGATAAAATATTATTTTGATATCAATGAAAGATTGTTGATCGAAGAACTATTTATGTTAAAAATTTCAATATTTATAAATAAAGTTTCATAAAAAAATTATACCTACGTGTCCAAAATCCTATAAACGTATTTCTAATTTCATAATTTAAACGTTTAGAAAAATATATATCTTCAAATTCTTTTTGTATTTTTATTCAATAATAATTTCAAAAATTTTAACAAATAATAATTGTAATTTTTAATTAAAAAAAATTAGATAGGCATTAAACTTCCACCTTCTCCTTAAAATTAATAAATCGTACATGATTTTTCATTCAAACATGATTTTTTAAAATAGATGGACATACTCGTTTCTAAAATACAATTGTTTCACTATTGAAATGTAATATACTTTGATTTAACCGTATGTTCTTTATTCATTAAATGAACAATGTTATACACTAAATTCTTAAAGATATATCCACGCATTTCTCGTATTGTACAACTTTAATTCTTTGTACATCGCAGTAAACTATAATAACTTGAGAATTTCTAATTAAAAAACATTTTACAAAACACAATTCGATATAAAAAATATCTCTACAGAATTTATAATAGAATTTGACATGTTCGTCTTTACAACGATTACAATATCTAATTGAAATAATTGTTTAAGGCGAAATTAAAAAAATTAAGTGATATCGGTACGTTGTGACTGCTTGGGATGTTGCCTGGAGGAATCATGGTACGCGATACCAACTCTCAACATTTCACCGTGGCGAAACATATCGTGCGGAGAAGAGAGAGAAGGCAAAGATGGTAGCGATGGTAATAAGCAATTTAGCATACTGGCACTACCATCTGACGAGTAAATTCCATTATTGGCAGAGGCGATAGAAGTTGTACTCGAGTTCGATGCTGAGACTAGGGTAGAGTTCGCGTTTTGATCACCACTTCCCAATACACTTGATCCCATTAAACTTCCTGTTTACAAAGATAAAACGGTATCAGTTACGATTATTATTATTATTACTTTAATAATTTTACATTTATACGGAGTAATCAACAAAAAAGAATCAAGACATAATTAATTTTTTTCTTAATGATAAATTTTTTATAATAATAGCTTCTTTAATCATTCATCATTAGAGAAAAAAAATAATTCAAAGATTTCACTTTAATGATAATATCAGTTTATTTATTATTTTGAAATCTCATAAGAAACAAAGTGATTCATTAATATATTGATGTAATGATCGTTTTAAATAAATATAAGAAATTATAAAAATAATAAAGAAATAAAACAAGATGATTAACAACATTTTTAACATAAATACTTGTATTTTGTTTCTTATTCAATTACATTTATAATACAATAACTAAAAAATAACTTACAGTCTCTCAACGTATAATGATAAATTAAAATGTACAAAAATTACATTTTAGTTACTATCTTTACCTTATCATATATATATATATATATTTTTATATATATATATATATATAAGTAAATTTAATCGTAAGAAATCCTACAGTTACAGGAAATGTTGATATCACAGGAAGATCGATACAATATTATTTTCCATAATTTATTTTAATAAATAAATCGTCGTTTATTTTATTTATTTTATTTACTTTATCACCAGATAATTTGCATTTTAATTATTATTATTCGTAAAAATGAACAAATTTCGAAAATAATTATATCGATCGTTCCTTTTCTTTTCTACCTCGATTTACTAAGCATTCACCTGCAAAGCTGACATTTGACGCGTTGGAACTGACTGTCGAAGCAATGGATAAAGACGTTAACGTCGACAGATCTGTGCTTTCCACAGCTCTTGAGTAATCCGTCCTCGTCATATGTGGTGGACAAATTGATGCAAGCGTCGATCGGACAAGATCGTTATTTCTATCAATTCTTCTATGCCTCATAGAATGGACACCGGATTTATTATTGCTACCGAGTCCAAAATGTAGGAGCTCTAAATGCCTCCTTAAATTTCGCGATTGACGTAAAATTGCTCCGCAAAGTGGACACGACGCCGGTTGATCGGACATACTTCGTGATTTGGATAATCCATCTCCTAAAATTAATTCCGTCAGATCTAAACACGTTCAAACATACTTTAAAGAAAAGTCACCGTAAGGATAGGCAGTATACATAATCGAACTAGCTTACTAGTTTTGGGCTGTTTATATTCATTTTTCTGACCTTTTCTTACTATTCAAATCATTGTATTGCAAGTCCTAACTAAATTAGATTAATAGTACAATTATATAAATAATAGTAAAAGTTATAAATAAATAATTTGCAAAATACCTTAAAAAACTATGAATTAATAAAGATTTCTTTTATTTAAAAATATAAAATCCATGATAAAATAAACTTTTATTCAATTTGTTAAATGATTTTATTACTTACTATTATAATTAAATATACTATATAATTCATAATTCGTCGATTTTTACATCTATCAATCGATCAGTATCAAAGTCAAATGCATGCTTTTTAAAAAAATAAAATTGCGAAAATAAATATATTATTTAGATAGAGATTAAAATTTCTGTCAATTAAGTTTTTTTTCTTATTTTAATTTACAATTTTTGTAATTATAAGAAAATATTTTAATTCCTTATGTATATAAATAGATATAAATCAGGTTCTGTTTTAACCGTTATATTGTTATTAGTATTCTTTTTTACATAATCGACAGAAGTTCGAATTCTCTATAATTTCAAAATATTAATTCGATATTTTATTAAAAAAATAATGAAAAAAAAACTGAGCAATAAAAATTTGTAATTCAATAAGTTTTATATAAAACTGATCATATACAATTATTGCATAAGTGATTATTTGAAAGATATCGAAAATTTACAAGTATTTTGCAATTCTTATTAATCATCGCTTTTACTATGAATAATTTTTTATCGATTGCTATTCCTATTAATCCTAAAGATACTGCTCTTATTTACTAACGTGGAAGATTTTAATATAATTGTAAATGTTTATTTTAAACATTCTGCTCCAAATTATTTTAATATCAATCAGAAACAAATCAGAAATGAAAAATTAATAAAATAAGAATACATAAACTATACAGATAATGTAACAATCAATTCATTCTGACAAACTTTAAAAAATAATGTCAGTCCATTTTTTCCCCTTAAACGATGCAAAGAAATTATAATTTGAACATAAATTCCTGTAAGTACATTAAAACAATAATTAAAAAAAGAATACGCAGACTTAAATTAAATTTATAACATATATTATAAAACAAATTAGCGATAGGAAACAAAGTTGTTTCTAAATCACAATAACAGAATCGGAAATTGATTCTGTTTACATCAAATCTTCGCTTTTATTTTTTTTCTGTATATTCATCTAGCGATAGTTGGAGACGAAACATTGCTTTGAGGAGAAACAACATTTGGTCCCTGTGATGTTGGCGAAGGAAGTGGACTGGGCTTACAAATTATTTGCTCACAGGTACTACTTCCACTATCAGTTCCATACGTCATAGAGTGCTCGTTATAACCGGATAACTCGACTTCAGGCTTTACTTCTATCATCATTGTATCAGCTGGGGAACTTTGGACCGGATTACTACTAAATCGATATTTGCAAGACGATAATAGATGTCTACGTAAATTTCTCGCTTGTCGTAACGTTGCACCACATAGTGGACAAACGCCTGGACAGTCGGATGCACCACGTATTTTAGACAAATTCATATTGCCTGTAAGTCCACAAGACGCTGTTCCAGCAGTTGTACCCTGAGTAACTAGTGGGAGCGGTATTCCAGGAGGGAAGCCCATATTTAGGGGACCGGGAAATTGCGGTATATGTAATGGAGAATATGGCTGCATTGGCATTAAAGTGTGAAGATGCGATTCATTGTCCGATATTTGATCCTGATGCGTTCCTGCTTGAGAATTTTCTGTTGACACCGGCTGCGCTTCTTGAGCACGTGGCGAGTGACAACTCCGATGATTCGAATATTCCAACCGATCGTTCGCTGCTAACAGACACAAACACAATATTACCATACAGGGCTGAACTGATTTTTACATCTGAAATTTTTGAGTTGTTATATCTTATGATATGATTGATTAGACGCAGTTCAACCCGATCGATGGTTGTGCTTGTGTCCGTTCTAAATATAAAAGCTTGAAAAAAACTTTGTCTTCAAAATATATTAATAAATAATGAAAATAATATATCGGACACAGAACACAATTAATATCGCATATCCATTCTTATTAAAATTTGTTTACTAAATTGATCATTGATCATAGATAGTAATATAATGATCAACTCAGTTTAATGC